AAAAGTGTTGGCTAGCGATCTGCGAAAACCAGAGATCGATATCTCTTTCTATGGGGGAGTTATTCAAAATTTAGTCAGGGACATTGCTTTTTGAAAACGATAATAGTTCATATCGGAAAACTTATAAGAATACATTTTGCCGTCGTATACGGCTGATGTATATCGCCATACGTGACCGTATACGATCGTTTACGACAGTGTCTATTGGACCCAGGATCCTTTCTCTATATAAGAACAGAATCGTTAAATGCCCAATTATAAGCAAACATAATATTTTATGTTTTTTATTCGCTTGATTACAAGGAATTACAAGTTTTATTTGTAATCCAGTAGAGAACCAAAATATTTCAGGCTTTTAAACCCTAAAGTTTTTCTAGCTCTACGAATACTTGTTCGTTGGTTATGAACATTTTCCCACATAGGGAATTCAACGTGCTCTACAGTCTGGCAATGCCAAAATATGTTCATTTCTGTGGACACTCGAATTCCAGATCCTCACCCCCGAAAGGTCTATCAGATGAAACGGATTTCAGATTAGTGATCAGCATCAAACATTATCCGCAATCGTGCGTGTTTTAAGAAAAAAGCGATTGAACAGTTGGGAAGATTCCCTTGTGACTGTAAAATTCATTTTCTAATGAAGAGCAGAGTCTGGGAAATGCTTTCCTGGTTTCTAGGTTACTCTGAACTGAGAAGATTAAAGGTCAGATGCGAATTATTTTAACCAATTTCATAAAATCAAATCGAACGCAGTCCATTTTACGAGAAAGTAATTTTTTGTTTAATGAGAACTGTAGCTGTAATTCTTCTTCGATACAATAAAATTTTCAGAAGATACTATAAATCTGTTCCTGGGTTTGCTGGGCTTGGTGTATTCTGGAGAATACACGAGAATATACCGGAATGCGCAAATATATAAATTTCTATAAAATGTGCTAGAAAATGTCGACGCAAAAAATGAAAAAGAACAAATCTTGTACCTTTAGCTCCACGTAAATCTAGATGCTTACTAGTTCCTTTAGTACAGATGATCGGTTGCGTGCGGCATCTATCTTAGAGCTTAGAAAAAAGTATTTACTATTGCTAATCTTTTGGTTCGTTCGGAATTGTACTTTTGTTTTATTTTTCTTGTTTGTGTCTCTTGTGATGATTGGTCAGTGTATGACTTGTTATTGCATATTTTCCATTTCCATGTTTTATGAATTGACAGAACATAAAAGTATTTTATAATACCCTACACTAGGCTAAAATAATAAAGGAAAGAACAGTGAACGGATTAAAAGAAGAACGTTTAGTCTAGGCACAATGCATTTTGTATATGATCGGATTTATTCTACATGTGCATATTATAGATTTTTTACTTCATTCTGTTTCATCTATTATCATAAATACCGTTGATACAGTCATAAAATATGTTTTTGTATATATTTGTTTTAGGTAAAGTTTTTATTTCTTATCTTCAATATGTATTTACGTACTTTTTTTTTGCCACCAATTTGGTATTTGTTGATGTCACACTTATTATTTGTCATGCTTATTTGCAGAGAATATCGATTTTTCTTTTAATGCATAAGTTTATTTTTTTGCAATTAAAAAATTAGTGTAAAAAGGATATTTTAAAATCTTCTTCTAATTAATTTTCAGATGTCTTCAGCAGCTACTCAAAACATTGTCGATATCAAATTTAAGCAGGTGAAAACACTTCTCTTTCAAATGTTTGTGATACTTATATTGATTTGTGTAATAGATATTCATCAATAATGAATGGCATAAAGCCACAAAAGGAAAAACATTCGCTGTTATAAATCCAAGTACCGGAGAAGAAATATGTCAAGTTGAAGAAGGAACAAAAGTATGTATGAAAACTGATTTTATAAGTTAATATGAGTAATTATATCTTAATTTTCATATTTTTTTTTTGTAGGCCGATGTCGATAAAGCTGTTGAAGCCGCTCGAAATGCATTCAAAACAAATTCTGAATGGAGAAAAATGGAGCCAGCAGCTCGGTATGTCTAATATCAATGAAATTATTCTATTATTATACTATCATATATTTATTTAGTGGTGTTTTAATGAGACAATTTGCGACACTTTTACGACGAGATGTAGATTATCTTGCGGTTGGTTGATAAGCATTAAATTGTTTGAGAGAGACTAGTATTTTTATTTTAATCAAGTTTCTAATCCATTTAAACACTCTTTCCCTTTTTAGAAACTTGAAACACTAAATAATGGCAAACCATTGGAAGATAGTAAAGGTGACATAGCAATATCGGCTGATTGTATTGACTATTATGCAGGATGGGTAGATAAAATAGCTGGCGAAACTTTACCATCAGCACCCGATACATTTTTATATACACGTCATGAACCAATTGGTGTTTGTGGTCAAATAATTCCTTGGTAAATAACAGAAACGGTTGAAAGCACGCGTAATATATTGATCTATCTATAGGAATTATCCTATATTAATGATGGCATGGAAATTTGGACCGGCATTAGCCTGTGGGAACACAATTGTCTTAAAACCTGCTGAAGAAACACCCTTAACAGCTCTATATTGTGGCAGTTTAATCAAAGAAGTATGCTAAAAGACTTTCAATTACTCTTCTACAAATTGTTTTGTATCTTTCATGACATTATTTTAGGCTGGATTTCCACCAGGTGTTGTCAATATTGTACCCGGAGATGGACCAGAATGTGGTCATTCTATTGTGGTTCATGAAGGAATAGATAAAGTTGCATTTACTGGCTCAGTTGAGGTATATTTTTACTAAAATATATTCTTCATATTATTCTATAAACATCTATTTTTATACTTAAAGGTTGGTAGAAAGGTTCAAGAGGTTGCCGGAAATTCAAATTTAAAACGTGTATCATTAGAATTAGGTGGAAAAAGTCCGTTAATAGTTTGTGAAGATGCTGATAGTATGTAATCGACTTGGTGAATATTTTTATTTAAAATATATGATCTATTTGATTATTTCATTTTTACAGTCGATTATGCTGCGGAATTAGCACATCGAGCTATATTTGCGAATGCAGCGCAGAGTTGTTGTGCTGGTTCAAGAACGTTTGTTCATGAAAAAATTTATGATAAATTTATTTCTAAAAGTGTCGAATTAGCTACTAAACGTGTAGTTGGTGATCCATTTGATACAAAAACACAACAAGGCCCTCAGGTAGATGAATTTGTCTCTCGATAATTTTGGTAGTTCTCTATATTTGACGAATTTTCATTTCTAGATAAACAACAGTCAATTTAAAAAAATTATGAACTATATCGAATCCGGTAAAAAACAAGGTATATACGGATTTTGGAACGTATTAACATTCTTTCACTACGCAATAAAGTTTAGAGTTAACGTCTATTTTTTTTCCAATTTAGGTGCTAAATTAGAATGTGGTGGTGAACGTGTGGGTAAAAATGGCTTTTTCATTCAACCAACGGTGTTTAGTAATGTTAAAGATGACATGGAAATAGCCACGGACGAAGTAACTTGTTTTTGTTAATAATATGAAAACAAGAGATAACTCTAATGTTTTCTTTTTTCAGATCTTTGGACCTGTTATGAGTATTTTTAAATTTCATGATTATGATGAAGTACTTAAACGAGCCAATGAAACGACTTTTGGTCTGGCAGCCGGAGTGATAACAAAAGATGTAACACGTGCATTCAAATTCGTTAATGAATTACTAGCTGGTAGTGTGTGGGTGAATGATTATGATGCTATTACTAATCAATCACCATTTGGAGGATATAAACAATCTGGTCATGGGAGAGAGTTAGGTAGTTATGGATTACGAGAATATTATGAAGTAAAAACGGTTGCGATCAAACTTGTTTAACAATATTGTTCTGGTGCTTTTTATTTCTATTTTGTGAACTTTTGTGAACTTTAAGATACTAATTTTTTTTTCAAAGTGTAAAACCCCGTGCAAGTGAGCTTTTAGATATATTATTTTATGTTTACGAAAAGAAGAACGACGCTCGAAGACCGGTACTTTTAGATACGTAATAACAAACGATTATAATATCTATTCTAAATAAAATGTTTTAGTTTCTATAGTAATTTCGAGTAATGCAATATTTTTCGTACTTTAAACGCATTCGTGTCATATTTAAGCTGACTGAGTAAAACTCAGTGAGGCTTATTCTATTTCATTACAAAAAATTATTCTTTCTTTTCACGCGCTTTTGTTTCTCGAGGCAGCGACTGGTTCTCAGCTATTCCTACTCGTACAGATTTGGAAAAAAGATTAGGTTCGAAAGTAGAGGAGCTATAGAGGACACATCTGAAGTTAGTTTTCGAATGTTTGATTTAGTTATCCTATAGTTAGTGCCACAAAATGAGTATATTTGTTAGAACTCTATCGTTTTTCCTATAAGATAATTAATGGTCACGTGATATGCGGTACAAGGTAAAGGTCGGTGAATAAAATATGACATGCAGTTTTCCCCTTGATTGAAAGAAAAGAGTGCGCAAAACAAGGTTATCGTTTTTTTTCTTTTGTCACGTGTACACTTAGCACGTGAATGTCAGATTCGCGTAATAAAGATGTCGATTTTACCGACCAATATGGAAAAACCGTACGTTTAACGTGATTGTTAACAAGGAATCCACGGATATTAATGCCGATAACGGAAAAAGGTACACTTAATGTGATTGCGCGTGAACAATCTGTGGATAATACGGTCTGTCGTGGACAAAAGATCCGCTTAATGTGACTATACTTGATGAAGTGGAGTGTCTTACGAGGGAACCGCCTGAGGTGCTAAAAATCTTTTTGAGTGGGACTATTTTTAAAATGTAGATCCTCATGGACTATGAAGAATCCCAACTTGGTTCGTGCGCAATCAGCTTTGTTGCTGAGATA